AATCTACAAGATTTTTCTCCATTGAAAATTTAAAACCCTTTTTGATTTTGATACAATAAACAACCATAGAAATACAAAACAATACACCCAACAAAATATATATAATACACCCATTCAAAACAAGCACTATAATAATAATAAAATAAAACCCAACAATTTCTTAAAAATGAAAAAAAAAAATTACAAAATACAATTCCATTAATTATAAAAACCAGTAAAGATCACATAATGGCGCAGGCGGTGGGGTTCTCGTCACTGAATGCAGTGGTGTACCGAACTTCGGTGGAGCTCGCACGTGCTAACTGCGACACGCGAGGATCAATATCGGCGTTTCGGACGTATCCCGCCGGGGCTTTCTTGTCGTAGACACCAGGAGCATAAGGGTGGGCAACGACGTCGTATGGGACGTAGGGCCAGAGCTCTGCTTTCTTACCCGTTCGATGTGCCACGCGGGCCACCACCTTGGAGGGTTCCACGTATCCGACGACTGTCACCTTGTTGGCTTTCCGTTCTACGTCCACTTGCTTCACACCTTTCATCCCCTCAAGCGATTTCTTCACCTTGCGCTCACATCCTTCGCAGTCTATCCTCACCTTGATCTCCACCGTCTGATCAAAATAATTCCGTCAGGTCAATTACGTGATGAAAATGGAAAAAAGTAAAAACAGTAACTGCTGTGGTTAGTTTGGCCGTTTTGGATTTTTCTACTTCTTGCTATCACGTCAATGACAGTAACGGCTACTGCACACAACTACTTTTGTCGGATTCCGACAGAAAGCAGTTTGACAAAAATGCCCTTACTTTTTTGAAATTGCATGAACACTGTTCTTTTTCTTAGACATGAAGAATTCCTACTGTGTTTTTCACTGGCAAACACCGACTGAGATTCTGGAGATCTAGAAGGGAGAATCTAAACTAAGAACGTGTTTGGTTTCGTAGTTAATATTGATGATGGAAGAAATTTTCAAAGACTAGAAATATAAATACGTATCATATGCATATATAACTCGATCTACTCCGAGGAGAAAATACAAGCGAAGGAGATGAAGTAGAGCAGTGTGTAAAAGTACCTGTAATGCTTTGCGTTTCTTGTGCTTGGAGCTAGCACGAGAGCAATCAAACAGATCTGATAAATGATCCAACGCACCCATTTTCTCTCCCCCTTTGAAAATTAGAAGAAACCCAACGAAGAAGATGAAGTGACGTCACAGAAGAGCCAGAGAGCTGAAGAAGATGAAGTGGGCAAGAGAAAAAAAAATATAGTGGATCGAATGCGTTTGCGAGTCAGACGAGTGATGATGAGTAAGTTGATGCGTCAACTCAGTCTGGGGGGTCCTCGTTCCACTTCCTCCATTTATACAGATACAAGTACCCAGACCTATCTTCTTCTGAATTCAAATCTGGGTCATTGGATCTTGTCGAACTGTTCTGGTATCTTGCCACGTGTCCACGCTTCGGTTCTTTCTGTAGAGGAATCTGAGTCGTTGGATCTTCTGATACTGCGATGATCTTCTGCCACGTGTCCAATCGAAGAAAGTCGGTTCTGCCGTTTTAGCGCTCTCATGTTATGGGGAATCTGGAAGATTTTAAGACGGGCCTATCCAGGAACGCCGACCCGATGGGTCCCGCTGTCTTTAATTTTGGCGCGAGATGAGGGAAGTGGAGATACGCGCCATGGTGGGTCTGCCTTTTTTTAGGTATACTATTGTTTTTGTGTTTGGGTGGGACCAGAGCTTTTGTGGATGGTCCCACAGTGGGGTCGGTTGTGAAAGGAGCTAGTTACGTAGCAATATTTGGTTTCACATGGCAGAAAGTACGGTGCGGTATGGTACAGGTGATTTACTTGTGGTGCCCCAGAATGGTCCGCCTGATGATCAGACAACGTTATCGTCTTCTTGCTTTATGAGAAGGTAATTTACAAGATTTTCTTCTCAGTAATTCGTGGATATATTGAATTTAGCTTCTTTAGAAAACCATATAATAAAACTATAATGTATATTACGTAAATTATTAATTTAATCTTAAAATTATAGATTATGTTTGTCTATTTAAGATTATACAATGGTTCTATTTAAATTAAGATTTTTTTTTTTTAAAAAGTTATTATATTTGTCTATCTGTGCATTATTAAATCAATTGTGCTTATTGAATTTATCAAAAATAATATTTAATTATTATAACTTTTAAATTTCATAAAAAGACATAACATGAGGCAAATAAAAAAATTATTATTATTTTCTGTTAAACCTTGTACAATTATATAAACAAAATAATGAATTAAAATAATTATATGAGTTTAAATATCAAAGTATAATATATAATTTTAATTGTAAAAATAATTTAGATGTTAAAATAATAATTATATATGTGTATATATATATAAATTAAGTGCACCATGATGCTGGATATGGATTTGGGGCATTCAATTTACGATAGGTGAGCCCAACTGTAGCAAACAGTGGGCCCCAGAACCAAGCCCATCTTTTTAGTTGGATGATCTGACGCGAACCGGATATACATGTTTGAAATGGCGTTTTATTTTTAAATTTCTTTGTAAATTAATTTATTATTTTCTTTAACCCATTTTTTGTACTAATTAAAATTCCAAGCTTAGTTAAATGTATTTAATATTTTTATATTAAATAAATAGATAATCATTATATACGTTATTACGTAAGTATTATTTAATTTCTAAAATTATTTAATACACGATTTATAATTAGTTAAAATTGAATTATATTTTTGTGTTTTAAAAAAGGGTTTTTAAGTATATATAATTATATTACATATAAAATTGTTTAAAAAATTCTCGAGTCACAATTCTCGGTTTTAGTTCTATGTAGATAAGATATAGATATAAAATGATAAGTACAATGAGTCTCGTCCACCCTTATCTAATTACCGAACTTCCTCTGCAAGATGTACACGTGGCACTCCCGGATAAGTACACGTCGCCGGTGTAGAAAATGCAACGTAGCAATAATTAGAATTAGAAACAATTCTCGAAACTATCAATTTTTGTAATTTAGTCTTCCCCGAAGTAGGACGGTGGTTTCCTGTTTTTTGAAAGTTGCAATCGTATGCTAATTTCTATCTTTATTGGAATTGACCGCCAATCCCTCATATATATATATATATACATACAGATTTAGAACAAAATATTATATTTATAAATTTCTCGAACTAAACCCATTTGATATTGCTATTATTTGAAGATAAAAATCTCAAATTTTAATTATTATGTTTTTTTATTAAAAACAAAAGTTGTATTTTTATAAATTCTTTTGAAAAATATTGAAGTGGTGAGGAATACAATGTTATAGAATAAGATAATATGTTATTAATTATAATATCAATAGTTATATCACCGTATAAAAATTAAATGTTTGACCTTGACCACGCATAGGTTCTTACCGATACAAGTATAAATATAAATATTTAAGATGGTATCTTCCAATTTTGGAATTAATGGAATAAATTATTTTTGAATGAGGAAACTTTGGATTTATGGTATAAATTATTATTATTTTTTTAATGGAGGAAAAAAGTGGCTTCTTTGTTGTTTTCTTGTAATTGTATCTATATAATACCAGCCACCAAATGCAATGACTACTTACGACATTAAATTTTACTTATACTAAATATAAATTGAAATATATTACTATAACTTGTATGTCTAGTAACAAAGTTTAGGCACGGCACATGCCCTATTATTATATTACTTTGGAGGTGTGTCAAGATTTACTATGTGACAAAAAATGAAGGATGTCATATTGATCGGACATTCAACAATTACACGTGGTTAATATATACATACACATATAATTCTAATATCATCACCAATTTAATGAAATTTTAAATATTTGGTTTGGTCATTTCCATTGCTTGGCGATATACATATATATATATATATATATATAGTGATGGCTAGTGAGGAAGATTGAATTGGCTTTTTCTTTTTCATAGAGGATAATGTTGGGGGTTAAGATAATTACCAATTGAACTTTTAATTTGGGAATTCTTTTCGTGATTGAATAGTTATCACCTTTAGTTAAGATGTGATTGTGTAATAATCTAATTTATTATTTTATACCGTATTATAAGAAAAAAATAATTACAATTTTACCTATTTAAATTTTATAATTTTTAAAGTACATATAATCTATTTTGTGAGGTTTAACTATTAAATTTGTTAATAATTTAATTGCTACAATTATTAGATAAATTTTCAATTTTACTTATTTTATGATCTTTTATTTCTTTCTTTTAATTTAATCTGTAATTTATATAAGTAAAAATTATCTTAAAAAATCTAATAAAAAAGATCTTAGGTTAAGTGATTTTGGTTGAATTTTATATAACATCATTTAAGAGTAAACTAAATCATATCTAATAAACTTAAGTAATTAAAAAAAATATATTGTTAAACCAGAAGTCAATTGTCAAGTAATATCTTTCATATATAATCGACTTATCATATATATTTACCTGTAAAAATCTTAGTATTTATAGACAAGTAAATTTTTGCCTAAAATCCTCCCACATCACTTGAAGCAACTCTAAAGTGTGCGAGGTAAATGATGCAAGCAATATAATTATCGGGATTGATTGTAGAAACTCGATTAATATTTGCATCTTGAACTTTTCATTCGAATCCCTTGCTTAAGTTATACGATTATTTTTTTAGATAATTGTACTTTTATTTGATTCAAAAATATTACTTTAATTCATCGTATAAAACGTGTGTGACATATGTTTTTACGAGAATGTATGCATTGGTTGCCTCAATAGAGATAATCGACCACGAAGAAACATAGTGAAAAATGTCCTTGGAGGTTTATACATAGTGTTTTGATATGTATTGTTGTTTTAGACCTACAAATGAAATTTGGTCTATAATCTTAATTAATTGCAATCCACTTATTTATTTGTTAAAACATTAATTATTTTAATTAAGACTACCTATTAGTAATCTAAATAGCTTTTTAGATGCATTAGCTAACACGTTAATTAATTTGTTATATTTAAATATTTCATAATTTTAAAATTAAAAAAAAAAAAATCATATATTTCAACCGTGTCCTCTTAAACCAAAATATGTTAAACATGTTCTACTTTATTTTTGCTCAATTTTTTTCATGATTTAACGACGTCATTAATGTTTAATAATATAGTTAGTATTATATGATGTTAACATTTATTTATATATATATATATAGATTTAACTAAATCATTAATTATCCTATATATATATATATGTATATACACATATATTAGTCAAATTTATGACCCAAATAATATTATTATCTTACTAAAAATCTTTGATCCAATGTAACAAGTGCCACGATGATTAAATTAATGCCTCTTATTTTTCCTCATCCTTTTCCAACAACTTTTTGACAACCTCACGAGTTAATTATTCAGGAGATCTCCAAAACCACGTTACATGTGAAAATTAAATGTATTTTATATAACCTTTATTATAAATATATATTATATATATCACGAATATTATGTGAGTAGATAGAGATGATGTAGATACACTAATAAATTATTCAATAACATTAAATTCCTTTTGTACCCACCTAGGTTTAATGGGCTATAATAATTTGGTCACTTAAGATAAACCCTGGCCTTAAAAACAGGTTTTAGCCCAAATTAACGAATCATAATTACAAATTTTCATAATTGCACTTTTTAATTTAGAAAAATTATATAATTTAATTAATTATTAATAAAATTACTATGAAAAGTATTTGTTTTTATTCTTATTTATGAACCGACAATATAATGCAATTATAATTTTACTGTAACACTAATATATTTTTACCGTCATTATAAGGACCAAACAAAACGAACGAGTCAAGAGTGTCCAAGAAGTCAAACTAATTACTTAATGTGTTCACAAGAAGTACAAAGCTTTCTTAATTATACACATATATATATATATGTGTGTGTATGGATATATACGAAATCTAACTAATTTAATGCCATTGCTCCATGTGGTTATCTGGCCATATAATCACCAAGAATGGATGTATATACCGTTTAATATATATAGAGGCTCCTTCTGGGATATATGATGCACGTGTAAAGATGCAGTATATGTATGTATGTATGTATATATATATATATGTACAATATTGTAGATGAAGATTTGTATGTGCGTATGTATATTCCAAATTGGAAAAAGACGAGGGATGAAAAATCAAATGAATGGTGGCATAAACAAAAAAAAAAAAAAAAGGGAACAGAGAGCCATGAGCATGAAAAGAATAGTAAAGAAAATAATATTGTGGGTGGAGTGATGATCCCAGTTATGGTCCTTCTTGGAAACTAAAAATCAGAGTCAAGTTTTACAAAATTAAACTTTTTTAAAAAAACCAGAAAAGTAAAATATAAATAAAGAAAGAAAAGCAAGGGAGAATTTTTCCCATTTACTTATGGTTTAATTCTATTTATGTTTTTAATAAAAATCTAAACAGAGAAAGGTATGGTTCATTGCTTCTCCAGACAGACTCACCTTTTCCCCAGAAACCCATA